TGTGATGTGTTGCTACTGAAGACGTGTTACAAAGAGACTATTCCAAACTGATATTTAGCGTGATATTTAGACAGATCTACTGCATCAAGAAATGACAGTATTCACACATTGCCATCCTTGTGCTGGGGATAGCCTACTTGAAAAGGACTCTCAAGGTTGTTATACCATAAATGATGGGATAAGTGGTCTAATAGAGAGTAAAGCCTGCCTTAATGTGTATGTGTCAAGTTCCGTTTGTATTGCTCCGAAAAAGCATTTAATTGGACTATTCCCTAGAAATGACTAAATTTTAGTCTTTTAAATGTTTCCCGAACCCTCAAAGATGGCTCATGTAAGTACCATATTCTCTTCCTAGGTGAATGAATGCTAACTTGAGAAACATAATGAGGTGCGTAAACTTAATAGAGGTGTGCTTGTAATTGATTTGGAAAAAAATCATAATTGCATATTTAAAACAATTGCTAGTTTGTCAATTGGACAAAAAGTATTTGATTCCAATTTTAGGGCAATTTCATTGTTCGAATACCTTTTATTATAATATTTATAAAGAAAAGACATCAGGTATTGGTACATGTCATAATTTGTATAATTCCTTAAGGTATAAGTAAAAATGAATATTTGTGACTTACATGCTTATACTGTTTCTCTGCCTACCATTGCACAGCTTTAAGTGTTCATAATTCTTTTATTAAATTAAATCTAGGTTGTAGTGTGCATGGTATTTTATAAGGAAATGTATTAATAAAATTTTAAATTGTTTTATCAATTCAAATCTAAATATGTTCAAAATATTTTCAGTATAACTCACACAAGATTAGAAAGAATAAATTTTCAGATGCACTTATTTTTGGCATTCTGTGTACTAAAAAAGAGAAAGTAAGAACTACAAAAATGTACTTTAATTACTCTTTTTTAACCAACGGCGTCAAAAGCTCAAGAATAATTTTTTATCATATTATTCTTGATCGCATGTGGCTGAAAACAAAACTGCTGCTCTACAAGAATTATATATGACATTTAACAAAATTTCAAGAAATGATAGAGGTGATACTATATGAAACACATAGCGATGATGGCGCCAGGGGCACAAAGGTGTTCCAACTCAATCTGCTTTCAAAGCTTTTATCACCAGCTCGACAGTTTTAATTCTAATGCTTAATTGCCAATGAATTTTATATGCCTTTATTTTGGGGCTATGCCCGCTTGTTTAACTTGGAAATTTTTCCGAGTTGCGCAGTAGCGCTTATTCTCAAGTACCGCCAGTGGCCATAGAGCACTTAGACAAAATACAAGGAAAACTAGTTAATGTCTGAGTAACCACCCAAGAATTAAGGATTACGGATTGTACAGAAATAACTTACATAAGAATTGTTACATTTAATCCACTTAAATTTTCATTTCGCATTTGGAATTTGAAATGAGACACTGTTAAAAGAGCGTCACGATTTTGATTTTAGTCATAATTAATCTAAGAAGTCATATGATTGTATTTCACGATCTAGTGAACTTGTCAAAATAAGTATAACGTAAAAGGTTTTTTTTACTTTTTTTATTTCTGAGATACACGACTGTGTTTAGCATCCTCTCTTTTTAATTTGCGTATTTGCTAGTTTTACTTATTTAAATTTTTACCTTTGCAATATTTTCCCTAAGACATTTTATCCCAGGATATAATGAAAATATTATTATTAATTGATAGTTTCTAAATGTCAGTAAAATGCTTACAACTTCTTCAGGAGATATAGAATACATGATTTGTGCCATATCATTGTAGCTTGTTATTTTGCCAAGATTGCACTTGGTCATTTCTTCCATAAACCACTCAGAAGTCTGCAATAATAATAATAATATTATTATTATTATTATTATTATTATTATTATTATTATTATTATTATTATTATTATCTAGTAAACAAATAAGAAAAGTAAAAAAAAGTACAATCATCGAAAGCTTATCGGCCAGTAAACCGTTTTACAACAAACACTGTTTTGAATTTTGATTTAACTTGGTACTGCATGTGATTCTTAAGTGACATGTATTGTATGTAAAGAAAGAAACGAACGTCTTAAGCTCTAAAAGAAATGCTTTCAGTGACAGGAACATAAACGCATGTATTCCATTAAATAATAACTAGGTTACATTCTTACGATTAACCATAAAATCAGTTTCAAATATTTCATAACCGAAACTTTTGGTTTTAAAGGTAATATATAAGAAAACGAAATTCCATGTCGCTGATAAAGAATAGCTTATGATATCTGATTACTAAGAACTGTTTTACAACAAGATGTAATGCAGTTTTCTAACAGAGCACATTAAAGTGTTGATGTCTTTATGTAATCAAATACACCAATGATTCCCCTTTTTAAGCTTCTTCTTTTTTTAGGGGGGGGCAGTTTTAGGTATTAATGTTTCGTGCTTTGATTTCTTATAATACTTCCGTAAAGAAAAATCAGAGATCTATTTCTGCTCAAAAGCGATTACATTTGACAGATTTTTGCGAAAATCATTAAATACAGAGCCTCTCCAAAGCCGGATAATCGGTTCTGCCAGTGTCCTGGACTGCATATAACAGAACTAATGGAAGAATCAATTAGTAAATAGAAAATTATAATTGGTTGAAAAAATATTTATACCTATTTCGTCAATAAATAAAATACGATTAATAAATTCTAATATCTTTATTAGAGATAATCTTAAAAGATGCATGTTTATTCTCTAAAAACTGTAGTATCTTTGGCGCTGTATCATCCTTCTTGTTTCTATATTATGCTGTGAGTAGGAATAAATGTCTTGTCAGGAACGGAGCTGTTAATTTTTGCGAAATGTAGAGTCAAATTTTCGCCTCTCTATACAATGAGGTTCTTTCCGCAATTATTTTCTTAATCATCATTCAGTTTGTTTTTCTTTTTTTCAGCAAAGTATTGCATTGTTTATTGTTGAGAGAGCTGTAAAGCTTTAATAATGGTATCAACTTTTATTAATATGATGTAACAAAATTTCGTTCATTCTAGTATTTTTTTATGTTGTTCAATTGTTCTCATGCACTCAACTCAGCACAATCGTGTATATTGCTCTTCCGAGTCTACTTTGCCCTGCCGTTAGTAGTAAATGCTTCTATCGCGAAATATTTGCTAGCACAGATAAACAACACGATTGTCTGAGTTATTAAATATTTCATTAGTGTTAGATTTGATGCATTCAGTTGCATAGTCTCCTCAACTCCTCCAGCGATAGCTGTTACAGCTGAAGTAAGAACGACTAAAGCATGAACGACTAAAATAGAACAGGAAACACCAGAAAATACGTATCATATCGCAGCTCAGACGTTATACTGGTTAGAGGAACCGACTGCTATACAAAAGGACCCGGATTCAAATCCCGGAGATGGCATAGTTGTAAACTCTCCGTCCCTTCATAGGAGGCAACGGTGGTCGCCTATTAGTACCTACACAATAAAATGGCCACAACTTCTGGCCTAGCCTAAGTCGGCTAACTACCCACCATTAGAAAAAAATATGTATCACATTACGTAACTTTATAACTGGATAAAGTTAAATCACACAAAAAAAGCATTTACTGCATAAACGAGAGAATGGATTATTCATATACTAAATATATAATTCTGTGGGCTGATTATTTAGAATTTATTTTTATATTGATCAACTAAAATTCTGTTTGTTCTGAAATTTTGAAACCGGTCTATACAAAATTCAAATTAATCGAAGTCGGATATTGAACCTTTCTTGCATTTCTACTGTTTCAATACCTCCACCAGAAAATATGTTTGCGTTTCTTGCTATTTCAACCTGGACTGTTGATGAGAGAATTCAATTCCTGTAGATACGTGAGCAGAAGCTTTAGCAATAGGCGCTAGTTTCCTAGGCTTTATCTTTTTAATTTGGATATCTCAAAGTAGAGTTGCATTAGTAAGGCCGAAAATAGTGGAAGTTTAGTTTTTTCCTGTCTTTACAGAAATTAAGTTTTGAGAAACTAAAAATATATCAATTTCTGCATATTTATTGTTATTTGTTGTAGTAAATTCTGCTAAGTTAAGGCGGCTTAAGAAGATGTTCGACCATCTAATAAGGCTACACAGTTTGACCTAACAGAAATTAAAGTATAATTTATAAAGATACTATTAAGATATCTAACAAATAAAAATAAACACAATTTCATAAATTCATTTACAGAGTACGCGAAATTGTTTTTCAAAACATTAAAAGCCAAATTTAAAAAACGCAGGTCTTTTCTTTTAATAATTTTAACGAACAAGAATGATTAAAATTTTCGCTTTAATTTAATTTATAAATATTTTTATTGTTTGCATCATGTTGGGGAACATGTTTTCATTGTATGTTTCAGAGGGCTGTACTTTGTAGTACAGTAGCCAGCGGAGGCTGAACGCTAGCTTAAGGAACGGGTATGAATTCGACTTCCGATTAAATGTTGCATGTATATGTATATGTGTACATATATGTATATATATATCATCCTCACGTGTGTAATATAAATGTTCAGTCTGTGGTGCAGTCAGGCAGTGTTCTTGGTGAGGAAGCAGATAAATTACTGTTGAGTTCAATCATTTTCGAAGAATGCTTAATACATATCTACACAGCCATTGGAGGGGGGAAATGTTATAGATTCCGTGAGTTCTGTTGGTATTCGGTCAAACGTGACATGTGTCCAATAGACATGGCTTATCTGGCATAGTTCACAACATGCTTTTAACATTTACGATTTCAAAAGCTTCGCAGAGCACGCCAGGGTCCAACTGGTCGCTAAACACTGGTAGATAGATCGGTAGAAGGCTTCAATCCCTAGAACGGGATGGCTGCGTGGAAGGTTTTGTGGCTTTTCCCATGTTTAACGTGTATACAAGTCCTCCACAAAGGCATCCCTCCAATGCGGAAGATAGATCTGGAGTGTATTACCATAATTGAACAAACTAAACCTCCCGAATATTTTTTACCATTATTGTATTATATAAAAATTTTACCTTTTCTTTCAGCAATGAGTAACATCTCCTATAATTGTCTACACCACCTATATAAAAAAATAATCATTTTATAATTTTAAAGCATTAGCAAGTGTATACTAAGTTTCAAAAATGTTTAGCAAATGTATACTAATTTTCAAAAAATAAAATTTACCACAATCTAACATCCAGTTGCTGAATGCAACATGAAAGTCTAAACTGAAATTATCTCTTTTCTTGCGTTATTTTACATCATAATTTTTATCTTGAATTTAATTCATTAGCATAGGAATAATAACTAATTATTCAGTAGAATATCAAGTTAGTGCCTTACGAAAAGTTAATTTTACCCAGAAAATGTATCGTTAATTAAAAAATTATTTTCATTCCATTCTACTTATATATAAGTCGATCTGAAATATTTTAATGCGCTATTTGTATGAAATAATTTTTGCTGGTTTTGTAGATGCCATGATGTCGGGTTTCCTTCATAAAAATGAAGAAGTAACCTGGCCGATTAAGAACTCTTTTATTTTTCACAAAATATTTTTTAAATAACCATACCTAGTTCAATTGACGCAAGACATGAGGCTGTTTTTAACAGTTAACTTAATACATTTCCAGATTTTTTCTTTTTTTTTTTTACAAATGGCATTTGTAAAAAAATGGCATTGGCCACTACTACAAAAGCGGTGACCATTTTATTATGGAGATACCTAATAGGCGGCTACCGTTAACCTCCTATGAAAGGACACACAAGTTTACGTCCATGCCTTTTCTGGGATTCGACCCCGGGCCCTTTGGTATCGCAGTCAGGCTCCCCTAACCATTACACTATCTGGGAGGCTTTACAGATTCTTATAACAGCATATTTGATGTAGTGAAGATAAGAGGTGGCATGTTACAGAACAAAGAATGCGCAGATTAAAGCATAAATGTTAGTTTCAGAATAATAATAATTATAAAAAAAATCTGGAAGTTTTCAAATTTTATTAACACGCCCAAAGAATCTTTTTTAACGTCTTGTGTATTACCTTTATATGTTAAATATCATGTTCTTCGCCCTTAAATCACATAAAATTCAATTCAACTATATCACAAAATATTTAAAAGAATCATGTATTTAGAATTTCCGAAAGACAGTCTCGCGCACTGGCGATAAGAATGTTCTTTTTCGTGCAGTGTTGCCGCTGCTCGCTTTGTGAATCGTTGAGGTTGTTAATAAAAAATTCGTTAAAGTTTTACAAAATATGAAATAAACACTAAACAAACTCGAAATTCAAAATTCAGGTTTCCAGGTGCCCATGTTCGGGTGGAGGATTATGTTATTCAAAATTTGTTGGGTCTAGGTACAGTCATTTTACCAGAATGAGAGAAACTTACACATATTTATGCAAATTCTTCATTACATAATCTTTTTAAATGTATTACAGGGTGATAATATTTAGTGGCAACAATTTAAAAAGTGATCCGTCGTTTATAGTAAAAGGCCACAAAATGCCGTTTCGAGAATAATAGAACTTCTGGGTTGCCACACCCTTGAGCTAATAAGGCAGCAATGTTTTATTTTATTCCTGTTGGCTAATTAAGGTTTGCTTTTTAATATAATATCTTTGCGTACGTACGGGTTCCTAATAGATCGAATGCAAAGTCCAATAATAGGTTAATAAAATTTACTTTCATCAAAAAAAAATTTCAGAACTCTGGAATTTTCTGGAGTAATATTCACACAAGTGTTCACAGTATCACACAATATAATCAGTAGATACACTTCAAACTACTAAGAACGTTAAACACAATTCAAAGCAAAGCGCATCTAAAGAGAAATCTAATCCGATTTCACGCTGAACTCGAAAAAATAACAACAGCAGCTAACTAAATAACTGCGTAGATGCTCTCTCTTCGGCCTTAAACAGATTTAAACCAGCGGAGATATTTCTAGTACTTTCTGCTTCTCGAAATTACTCAAAAGCAGTACGAGGGGGAATTACGGTTACAGCTAACACAGTGGTCAATTACATTTATTCAATTTCAATACATATTACAGTAATACAGGAACCGGTCATAATATCGTCAAATTTGGCGGCATTGAAGATTTCTCACCAAATTTGGAAAATAAGTCACCAAAACCGTTGTCAGTTTGGCGATATCTCCCCAAATTAACAAGATACCCATTTACTCAATGTTAATTGCACTTGGTCCTGTATTCTTACCTTTCTGGCATAGCTTTACCTTAAAATTTATCTCACGCTACATTACACAGAAAAAATAAAAGAATTTTACTTATAATTTTACTAAACTTACCTATTCTAAGTACAAAATTCGTAACATTGGCCCCTTCCCAAAGACTGCACGTAATAACAAATAACAAACATTACAGTGCAATTACAAACAATATAAACAATATTGAAGTAAATAACTTAAAACAAATAAAACACTTAATCAATAAATGTGTGCACAAATTAAAAAATTTAGAAACAAATAGGGCCATGGGCTATTTACGTTATAAACACTACGTACTATGACCATAGCAAGAAGCTATCCTGTCTTACTGAACGACTTTAGGCTTAGAATTCGATGACTTACGGATCCGAACTAAGACGTCGTTCAGTCTGTTTAGGACTGTGTAAGGAACATCCCAAGGTGTAGTTTAGGAGCGAGTCCTTTCCGTCAAATCGGATTCCGGATGGCGGATGGCCAATATTGCTTTGTCGTAAGAATATACATCGAAATGTCCTACCAGGTAGGTTTTTCTGTTTCAAGACTCCATTAAGTTAATTAAGGGTCTATTGGCGCTTTCTTCCGACTAGTCTTTCCTGACTACATTCTCACTCCACGAATTTCGATCAGCCGGTTTTGATGTTAAAATTTATCGTGCAATCGCATTAAGCAGATCGTATTTCCCTTCGAACCTGAAACAATTTCGGCAACTTTCTGGGCTGGATCTTATAGATAGGGCGTTGACGTTTTGTTCCCTCCCTTCCGATTACGGATAGTGATATCATATTCCTTGAATTTCTATATCCACCTGGCTATTTGACTTTCATATTTCTTGAAACTTAAAAGTCAACGATGCATGATCCATGGGAAGCAGTAAATTTCTGCCTTAGAGATAATGATGCAAACGTAAGCCGTAGAAAATTTCCATCGAGTATGGAAAGCAACTCTTTCCTGGTGGCACAGTAATTAATCTTCATTTTAAATGGGCACTTGCTCCAATCGACCACAACACTAATAACACTGACAGGGACTCCGGAGAGTTAATGCTTCGTTTAATGATGGTGACTGGAGTACATACTGCAACCACTTCACCTTTTCTAATGACTTAAGGTTTATTACTGTATCAATTCTCACTGGGATAACTGTCTTCGCGAAGTCGACGAGTGCCATGGCTGCTAGTACTCTTCGTGGGGTGTCACAGTTCTTCGCATATTCCATTACAAAGTACCGGAAATTTCTATTTTCGGCAATCGATGCAGGAAGTAGAAATTCTGTTCTAGCTGATATTGTGGTATCGCCTTGAGCTATGATTTCGTGGGCAGATTTTAACATTTTCATCATTAATCATGAATAAGGCTATGTCCTCAGAGGCAGAATGCAATTCATTATTTTTAGAATAGAAGGGAAAATTCTATTTCCTTAGAAATCCAGTCCATTTATGCAAGGTTCTGTAATCTCTTTACATATGTCGCGTGGTGGTAGGGCGCACTTCCTAACGGGACGCTAACGTTTAATTTTCCATCGATGTCGATCTTCTTACCAGACACATTCTGGAGGCTAACGCAAGGCGGCTTCCAGATAAGTTTATCCTCAACAGTTTTAATTGGGTGGCGGTCTCTGTTGTTTCTGCTAGTCGAGTTGCCTGCTGAGCTACGTCGAATTTCATGAGTACACTAGAGCGCCTTTTATATCTTTGACATCCGCCATTCGCAAAGCTTTTTGTATTTCAGGATCCCGGATGCCATCGATGAAGTACTGGAAGGACAGAAATTTCTTTGTATCTGTCTGGAAGTCCGAAAACGCGAGATGAGGCAGCCTTTCAACATGCATGTCAAGTTCTTCGAGTGTTTCCATGAACTGTTGACGGATTTCAGTTGAATCCTGCTAAAATTCTTACATTTCTCATTGAAGCAGTGCTCCAACGCGCCTGATGCGTTCGATGTCTATCCAATGGTTTTCGGGAAGAGTTCGAAGGACATCCGTTTTAACTTAGGAATTACAACTATGCGCTTTCGCAGCTATAGAAAATTGTGTCTTTGCACTTGCCAGAAGTTCTTCCTATCATATGTGAATAGCTTCAGAGAGGGAAGTGTTATAACGTGTATCACATGAAAAGTGCGGGTCCCAAAAATGTGGTGCCCAAGGCGGACCCGCCTTTTCGCCCCCTCCTCTATCTACGTCAGTGAAAGAAATAATTCTTAGATGCCGATTCTGGTGAATTGGACATGGATTGAGAATTGCGATAGTTTTAATTTCTAGAAACTGCTTTGTATAAATGAAACTGTGTAACGGAGCAAAAACTAGTTATTAATCTGAAACTCTAAATTTTGTTTCATTACGTCTTTGTGAAATGCGGATTTAGGATCTGTTCTTCTGAGACAAATTCTTTGAATTGTTTGCAATTCAGAAACAAAGGTTTCTGTGGCTATGATGAACCTTCCCCAACTTAGTTTTTTTGTCCTATAACTGCCGTTTTATCTCAAAATCATAACAAAAAGACCAAATTTCCTCTCCGTTCCCAATTTATTTAAAACAATCCGAGTTAATTTCTGACACTTAGGCCAAATTTTAGAATTCCTTTTGCTTTTGCTTCAGCTGTGCGTGAGGCACGAAACGAGTTAGACTGTTTCCTTTCTCAAGACCTTTCACGATAGTTTTGTGAGCGATGTCATTACAGCTGTTAAGTCCATCAGTTATCACTCGAAGTCGAAAGTGATCATTTGTAAACGTAAATGATGAATTTTTAGAAAGAATCATTGAAATGTTTTCATTCATTCGAAACTGCAAAACATGGCCACTCCCTGAGTTCGTCATTAGCCAATTCGCGTTCAACAAGACTCGTTTATAC